GTGATAGTTATACGACTGTGAATATGCCAAAGGAGACTGAATTGTGTGTTACAAATAGAAGAATTGTTATGGTAGCTGAATTGCCTCTCAATAGAACTTTTTCTCAATTGGCTTAAAGTTCCAAGAAAATTATAAACAAATTCAGTTAACCAAAAAGTGTTAGATAAACTAAAGAGTGGTAGATAAATGAGTGGCTCTTTCTGTCTCCTCTGTATTACAAATTCCTCCTATATACAAGATAGCTTTTAGCTTCATTTATAGTTTACAAGCACTTTTACAAATAACAGCTTCTTGAGTCCTCCCTACAACCCTGGACGTAGAGGAAGATAATTGTCCGCCATGATTTTATACACAGCTCTGAGTTTATGAGATTTGCTCTGACTTATTAAGCTGGTCAAAGCAGGGGTCAGCTCTTCCACTACTGAATCTTATGCCCTTTCTTTTTTTTTGGTCTTTTTTTCTGTTTTGTGTTTTTTATTTGATTTTCGCTGTTTTCAGATGGGTTTCACTTTTTGATTTTGGTGCTGAGGACTGAACTCAGGGCTTCCAGATTGCTAGGCAAGTGTTCTACCACTGAGCTAAATCCCCAACCCCGCTTGTGCCCTTTCTTGTACACCCAGTAGCATCTCAGAAAACCAGGTATGCACGGTTGGGTTTTGGGTTGATGTGAAGGGATGACACCTTAGACTATCCCTTACCATGATCTCCATAAGAAAAGTGTCCAAGAGCTGATTTTTCTAGGAGCCAGGCTAGCTACACTAATGCCACATTCAAGACAAGTAGGCACTACCTCATCAGAGGCCTTCGGGTGCCATGCAGTCTTTTCTCCTTTGGAATTCACTTGTGTTGGCTCACTTTCTGTTTGCCTCAGCATTCAATCCTGACATTCTAAAAGATCTGAATGAAGAATTAATCAACAGGTACTTTCCAGGAGATCGGGGGAGCAAGTAGGCAGGGACCCATGATTTTATATGGAAAGAACCAAGGGCTCAAGCAAGAAGATCCAAGGTGGCTTCAATTTTCTCTTCTATAAAATGAGAAAAGGATAAAATAATACTCTCAAGGTTGTTATAAAGATTTACTAAAACTAAATCCCTGAAATCACTGAAAATAGGGACACAGCGTATGTTCACTGATGCTAAAACGAGTACCCCATGGCCTTGGTCTCACTATCGAGACCAGTGGCTCACTATGAGACCAGTGGCTCATCTAGACACTAGGGTTCTAAATTTCAATAGTTATCAACATCAAGAGGTGTTGTTAGAACGGGGGGGGGGAGGGGGTTGATTAAACTTGCCAAACTTGAACTGACTAATTTTAAAAATGACTCTACGGTGAATTTTACTTCATGTTAAAGTTGTAGTTTCCTATAACTTCAGAGTAATTTTACAATATCTATGCATGAAGGTCTGGGGTGTAGCCCAGAGGTAGAGTTCTTACTTAGCACACATAAAGTCCTGGGTTTAATCCTTAGTGTGTTCTCATACACACACACACACACACACACACACACACATAAACACACACACAAATTACATCTTGGTTTGCACCTGCATTCAATGTGTGGGTGTATGTTTATTCAGGTGACTCCCAAACCTAATTAGTCATATATCAGAATCACCCAAGGGGTTGTTAAGCCTACACATTACAGTGTAAAGACTCTGACTCTAAAGTCTGGAATAGCTGTTGCATTTCCGCTTTTACTAAACTCATAGGTGACTTCCCAGTCATCAGTGAAGCTGATGAAGACACTTATTATAAAGCCACTCACTGGACATTTCCTAGGGAATTTTTTTCACTGTGTAGACTGCAAAACAGCATTTGTTCAGCAAATAAAATACTGAACTATTTCATTAGAGAACAATCAGCAGGAGGGAAACCCTTCCTTTTTTGCCTTACTAGAATTCTGTGAACACAAGAATCTTCTAAAGGGAATTTTCTGCCAAACCTTTCCCATCTGAATTATCTTCAACCATATCAAAGGGACTTTTCAATCAAACAAAGCTATAAATTCTTCGCTGCAAGCTGAAAACGTCATTCTGATGAAAGTCTTAAAAAAACAATCGAGGGCAAGGATCTAAAGAGAAGAATCTGGAGAACATGAAGGTTCTGCCACTTAGCCATTTATTAAGTCTTCCCACCATCCCTAAACCACATTTTTTGTTTTTGTTGCTGTTTGTTTGTTTGAGAAAGGGTCGCTATGTAGTTCAGGCTGGCCTTGAACTCACTATGTAGCCCAGGCTCCCCTTGAATGGGAAGCAATCCTCCTGCTTCAGCCTCCCAAGTGCCAGGATTACCAGCATGCACCATCACACCAGGCCAGAACCACATTCTTGATGCATAGCAATGACTTTCTGAGACCAGGAATGTAATTTTATTAGTTTGCCAATTTACATTTCTATTCTCACTGAAAAGTGTGTCCTGAAACCACAAGTTCCCATTTTAAGCAGTTGCAAACAGATGACTTCCTTATCACAATGCTTTTCTCCGTTATGCAAACACTTTCACAGCTAGGAATGATGTATGTGGACCATGATACTCATTTAACTTTATGGCAGAAATGTTTAGTAGTTTGGATTTTTTTTCTTTTTTTTTTTTTTTTTTTGGTCTTTTTGAGACAAGGTCTCACTATACAGTTCAGTCTGGTCTTAAACTTATTTTGTAGTTCAGGCTGGCCTCAAACTTGCATCGATCCTCCTGCCTCAGCCTCCTGAGTGCTGGGATTATAGGCATGCGCCACCACGCCCAGTTTGGGGTAGTCTGAAAAATTACTTCAAATTCTTTTTTTCTTAAGTCTTGCTGTGACACACTCCAATAAACCTTTATTCTTAAGGTTTATTCCGACTACTTGCAAAAGCGTGTGTGAGAGCCACGCAGGGTGGCACATGCTTATACTCCCAGGTACTATCCAGGCCAAGGTGAAAGAATCTCAAGTCTGAGGTCAGCCTGAGCCATTTAGGGAGACAACTTCTCCTCATTTCCTTCTTAAAAAGAAAAAAGGAATGAGGTTGAGGGCTGGGGTATAGCTCAATGGTAGAGCTTTTGCCTCATACATAGCACACCTTAAATTCCACCTCCAGCACACAACCCCTTCCCCCAAAAACCCTTAGTTTGAGTCAGTATTTAAAAAAAAACTAGCTGGGTGTGGTGGTGCATGCCTATAACAGCACTGGGGAGGCTGAGGCAGGAGGATTGGCGTGAATTCGAGGCCAACCCGGGCTACCTAATCGAGTTCAAAGTCAGCCTCAACTACATAGTGAGACCCTGTTTCAAAAAACAAACAGAAAACCCACCTAAACCCAATATTAACAGGGCACTTAAATAATGCCAGTATAATTAGTAAAGGTGAAGGTAACTTCACTTCATTCCAGACAAAACAGAAGGAAACCCTTGTGTGGCTAAGATTGTCTAGATGCAGAAAAAGAGCTCACAGGTTAGGCAGGGGTGGCAGCGCAGTAAACCCTGCAATCCCAGCACTCTGGAGGCTGAGACAGAAGGATCACAAATTTTACCTGGCCTGGGCAATTTAGGGACTTAGGGACCTGTCTCAAAAAAGAGAAAGGTCTGGGGTTGGAGCTGAGTGTGAAGGTCCTAAGTCCAATCCCCAGAACCTAAAAAAATAAAAAGGAGAGAAGGAAGGAAGGAAAGAAGAAAAGGGAAAGAGAAAAGGGGCGGGGAAGCCAGTGCCCTCTAAGAACCTGGAGCATTATCCACTCAGGAATTCTCAAATGTCTCTTTATACTCTGCCTCAATGATTCTACTTTTACTTTACATTCCTATTCAACCTTTCACGTTCCCTACCAAAAGAGTGAGAAGCATCCGGCAGTGCAGGGCCGGGGAGAAGGGGGAAAGGAAGGACAGTGATAAGGATTCAGAAACAAAAATCTGCAGGCTAAGCTGTTAACAAATTTCCAAAATCAGTCACCTGGGGTGGAAGCGCTGTAACCCAGGTGGCTCTGGCGTGTTTGTCCCTGAGGGCAAAACATTAAGGAGTGGCTGAGAACAAGTGGTCAGAAAACTCCATTCTAAAACCCGATAGGCCAGTGCTTTTTCAAACGGATGCCCTGGGGACAGCGATTCAGCAGGTTACCCATCACACACTCCTCACCAGAAAACGCACAGAACACGGCGCACCTGCAATGAATCTCTTAAGGAATTCACTAACCTACCAACCGCTGGTGGTAACGATGCCTGAGAAACCGCCAGCGCCCGCCCACCTGTGGGCCCGGCCTCCTGCAGACTCCAGCGCAGTCTGAAAAACACCCTTCTCCGGCGCGAAGAATGCCTGGCATTCAGGGCCGCCTTCCGACCCACAAGATCGCCAGCTCGGTTTTCACCGAGTTCTCCATACAAGAACCTCCAGCATAGCCCCGGAAAACTAACAAGGCCCTCCTCTGGACGACTCGGCCCCTCCCTTACAAAAGGGACCGAAAGCACAAAAGTAAAGGTTTAAAGAATCTTTCCCAAGGCTCCGCAGCGCCCAGGGCAGAGATCCCAGCCGGGCGATGCGCGGCCCGCGAGAACCTCCGGGCGGGGCGGCCCCGGGAGCCCCACCTGCACCCCGCTAACGATCGCCGCCCTCGTCACCCTGGGCACCGGCTCTCAGCAGTTCTAAGGCCTTTTCGATCAGTTAAATAAAAGTTCAGCAGCAAGTGAGACAGCTTGCACTGGGGAAGGGGGAGCGGGGCACCCAGCGCAAACTCCCCTGGGAAGAGTCCCTTAAAGAATCTCCTTCCCCGCTGTCTGCCCCCAGGGGCAAAAGCTAGAGAGAAAGGAGGGAAAATCCAACAGAAGATCTAGGTGATAATCCACTCGCGTTTACCCCGCTGCGGCTCACCACGACCCTTCTAGAGTACCTGCGCAACCCTGGACCCCGCAAATCCCTCCCTAGCAAGAGTCGGACGCGAGGAAGGGACCCCGGCGACGCCCCAGGCAGCTCCCCACGCTCGAAGCCCCGCGGCTCTGCCTGGGGCGGGAGCAGCAGGGCCGAGGTTACTCGCCTGGAGACGCGTGCTGGTGGCGCTGGCGGTGGCGGCGGCGGCTAGCGGGGCCCCGCGTGGAGCGGAGGCGGCCGGCCCGGCCCAGGGGTCCCCCGCGCTCCCCGAGCGCTTGGCTGGCGGCGCCTGGCCGGGGCGGGAGCACGGGAGGCTCCGCGCCGCTCCCGGGCACTGTTGTGACTCAGGCTATTTCCTGTTTGGAGGTTTGGGAGAAAGAAAGAATACTGTACGTGAAACTAGCGTGGGGGCAGGGGCAGTTGGGCGGGGGCGCGCCGGGCAGCCGCGGTCCAGAAAGGAAGCGGGTGGTCCGACGCTGTCACCTGCTTCCCTGAGATCAGGAGGGTGCCCGGCGCCGAGCCCAGCCCGCTTCCTGCGGGGTCGCGAGAGGCAGAGAGAGCCACCCAGCGGTGGGGCAGGGACTGCGGCCCGGAGGGCGACCTCGGGGCCGGGGCCCAGGCGTGCGCTCCTGCGCTCTTCCCCGGCCTGCAAAGCCAGCTGAGGCCCCCCCACCCGGGCAGAGGACCTCGCCCAGGTCCGCCCTGCGAAGGGCCGTGCGCAAGGGCCGGTCAGCTCAGCCACCCCTCACAGATCGTGGGAGAGGGTGTAGGCCCTTATGAGTGGGTGGTTGGGTGGTGCTGGGGTCGTTGTTTTTGTTTAAGGAAGGTGGAAAAACAGTTAATGCTTTTGATGAAAAGTTAACTTTTATAATCAGCTCCCGTTCCCCTCCCCCGCCAACCTCGCCCTTCACCAGGATCGCTGGGTTTCAGGACTCAAGCCGGAAATACCGGTTCCTCGCCTGGGACAAAGGTGAGGGCGCCGGCAGTAAACAGAAAGCCTGCTTAGTCACAGCACACCCGGAATGCCTGGCGGCCGCGAAGGCGAGCGCGCAGGGCCCCGGGCTGCACCTGGCCAGCAAGTGCTCCAGCCCCTCCGCCCAGTCTGTTAAAAAGCCTGGCAAGACCCTGGGGAGTTACTGTTCAGCGGTTCCAGAACTTCATTTTGGGGTGACGAAAAGGCTCTGCAGGTGGATAGTGGTGATGGCCGTACAGTGTGAATGTACTTAATGTCACTAAACTGTGCACTTAAAGATGGTTAAAATTTATGCTGTGTGTATTTATAATCCCAGCACTCTGGGAGACTGAGGCAGGAGGATCACAATTTAGAGCCCAATCTGGGCAACTCTTAGGGACTTGTGAGACACTGTGTCAAAATATAAAATGTTTAAGGGGTGTCGGGGAGAAGATGGACCTCGGTGCACAGGCTCTGGCTTCGGTTCTCAGCAGGAAGGGCGATTCTGTGAAGGACGCAACCGCTCAGTCAAGACAACTTCAGGGCTGCGAAGCTCTCCTTCCCACACAAAGCTTTCCCGGAAGGAATGGGAGGAACAGCACTTTCTAAAATCTCAGGTTGTTTTCCATCAAACTTCGCGGACACCGACAACAAATTACTCAAGAGGGTGATTGAGCCTAAGGGACCGCGTAGGCTGGGGATATAGCTCTGTGGAAAAGTGCATGCCTGGCAAACACAAGGTCCTGAGTTTGATTCCCGCTTCCAAAAAGGAAAAAAGAAAGGAAAGAAAAGAAAAGAAAAAGGACAGTATAATTTTCAGAAAAATCTATATAGAAAAGGAAGAACCTACATGTATTTGCTAATTTTTAATGGAAAGATGAATTATTAAATAAATGGTAATGGTAAAAGGGAGGCAGGAGCAGGACAGAAGGGGCAAGGATAGAAGGTGGACTCCGCTGAAGAAACCCTGTTCTATAGATTTGACTTTGGAGTGATGTGTTTTACATTTAATAATGGAAAGTAAAAATCCAACCAATGAATGTAGGTGTCAAGTTAGTGGCTTAACCATATCAAAGGAAATTATTTCTGTTGACTTAATAAACTTAATTGATTCTGCATTTCCTAAGGATATACCTAAGGATGAAGACAAAAAAAAAAAAAAGAAATAAAGTGTTCTTCAGTAATCATAATGTTAGGAGTAAGTAATTATGTCAATACCCGAGGAATCAAAATTTTTCAGTATAAAAGTGGTAGATAATCAAAGAAGTTAGGCACTATCAAAATTTGGATTGGAATTATGTGGAACTCATGATATACTTCTTTTTTTACAATAATGTCCAAGTTCTACTCATTGAAAACGCTACCAGATGATGACAAACCGGTAATGGGCACTCCTTGATCCCACTCTGTGCTCTTAGGACAGTTCTCCTTTTAACGGACTCTGACCTTGGAGAAATGGCTGATTTTAGGTCTAAGACAGAAGTATCCAACATAAGTCTGGAATACCTTGTCATTTCAGAAAGTAAGAATGCTGTCAGAAATCAAGGGGTAGGGGCTGGGGTTTTAGCTCAGTGGCACAGTGCCTGCCTGGCACGCACAAGGTTGTGAGTTCGATTCCTGGTACCAGAAAAACAAAACAAAACAAAACAAAAGAAATCAAGAGGTAAAAATCAGTGGAATCTGGAACCAACTTATAGAAGCTCCTTCTGGCCAAAGTAGGATACATCTGAGCACCAGTAAGAAAAATAGCTGAGTATAGTGGCATTGCATCTAATCCCAGCACTCAGGCAGCTGAGACAGAAGGATAGCTTTAAGTTCGGGACCAGCCTACGCTACATAGTGAGTTCAAGGCCAGCCTGAACTATATAATAAGACCGTGTCTCAAAATAATAATAATAATTGCATATTAGATATTGAGACATATCTAATATTCTATGTCCATTAATTGTGATTGAAACTAACTTTTTTAAAAACCCACTCTTAACTGGTTAATTTTGGAAATGCAGTAGAACTAATTCATTAGGTAGAAAGCTGGTAAATAGTAAAGGAAGGGGCTGGGGATGTGGCTCAGTGGTAGCGCTCTTGCCTTGCATGCACAAGGCCCTGTGTTTGATCCCCAGCACCACAAAAAAAAATAAAAATAAAAATAAAAGTATTTATTGTTGGCCTGCTGGCTGAGGCACGGGGATCACTTTGAGTTCAAGGCCAGCCTGAACTGCAAAGCGAAACCTTGTCCCAAAAAGACAAAAAAGGAAGGGAAAGAACTGCACATTTTTCTAGATGGAATCTAACACTTTTTTTGACCCCTCCCTGTCAGCCTCGCCTGTCTCTTACTCTGGTCACTGCTGCAGCTGCAAGTCCTGGGTGGCCTCCGGCCAGCTCGGTGCAGAAGCATCCTGCCTTAGCTCCCACGCTCGGTTTCTCTGTTAGGAGAGTGAGGAATCCATGGGAGTTATCTAGGTGCCTGAGCACATGCCTGCCTCCCCTCAAGAGTGCGGAAGTTCATGTTTCAGGGTCCAACCTTTGACCAGCGGGCGATAGACAGGAGCTGAGAGAGGATCGCTCCTCTCTGCTCTCAGGCAGAACCATCCCGGACCGCATTCTGTCCAGCTTCTCCAGTGGTCACACAGCTGGTCTACACAGCGGCAGGATACTCAGTGGGAGTCCTGTGGAGTGATGCTCCTGCTTCCCTGTCTCTCACTTCCCTAGAACCAAGTGACGCCTTCTTGTGTAGACTCTGCTTCCTGGGAGGCCAAGCCTTAGCTGTGTACAAAGTTTATTCAGATGGCTTAAATAGTCGTGAGGAAGCGATTCCAGCTGATAAATAAGGAATGGCACAATCCAAATAACAGTGCTTTATAAAACCTTAACCAAATCATCATCATCAAAAACTGCTCACTAACATCACACCCAAGATCACCAAGCATGTGCTAGCGGAGAGGAACACACAGCTGCACAAGGGATACACTCTTGCCCCAAAGGGAAACCTGAACCAATTCAGCTTCTAGGTCCAAGTACATTTTACAAAACTACTTGAATAGAAGAATGTGGAACTTTTGTTTGGGAGCCACACTGGGCATCAAACACTGGGCCTTACATATTCTAGGCAAGCCCACAAGAATGTGTTTAACACTTACAGTACAGTCAATAAAATCCACAGTGTATGAAACTAGAGACAAATTATCTGGTCTCAACAAGTAGTAAGCCGTTTGCTAAAAACACTGGAGAAGCCCATAAATTAAAAGACATGATATCAATGAAAAATAGTATATAGCCAGGCTTGGTGGTGCATGCCTGTAATTCTAGCACTTTGGAGGCTGAGGCAGGATGATTGTTGCCTGGGCTACAAAGTGAGTTCAAGGCCAGCCTGAAGTGCATAGTGAAAACTTGTCTCAAAAAAGACAAAAAACAAGCTGGGCATGGTGGCACACGCCTGTAATCCCACCACCTATGAGGCTGAGGCAGGGGGATCACTGTGAGTTCGAGGCCAGCCTGGGCTACAAAGTGAGTTCAAGACCAGCCTGAACTGCATAGTGAGAGCCTGTCTCAAAAAGACCAAAAAAAAAAAAAAAAAAAAAATCTTGTTCGCAGCCTTGTTCAGCCAACCAAGTACTGAAACAAAAAGATGAGATATTTGGAGGAAAAAAAATTTTTTTTGAGACAGGGTCTCACTGTGTAGTCTGAGCTAGTCTTGAACTTACTATGTAGCCCAGGCTGGCCTCAAACTCGTGGCAATCCTCCTGCCTCAGCCTCTGGAGTGCTGGGACTACAGGCATGTGCCACCATACTCTGCTCCTGGAGAGACTTTGTTCATTAAGTTAGTGAAAACTTAGGAAAAAATTTAAACAGCTTTATTCTTACTTGCCATTGATTTAATTTTGTACATGGGAGGTGATACTACTACTTAGCTGTGGTGGGTGGTGTGTTATATGTATGCCTGTAAATATACATGCATGCACACACACAAAATGAAACACCTGTTTAATTTTTTCTGTATCTGAAACGAAATGGACATTTCCAACAAGACCTGAGGTGTGTTTCAGATGTGTTGAGGCAGGGAGAAAGGAACTCTGGCTGGCGCAGGTAGTAACTAACTTTGTCTGGCTTTTCTCACCTTTCTTCCTGTGGTACGTTCTGCATGTATCTCTTTGTGTTTTCCTGTTATGGGCACAACAGCATTTTAGCAGTCAACAAACATTTCCACTCGGAAGACTGAACAGTTTAAACTCTGCTCTGAAAAATAAAGTGAGATG